AGACATTGAATTTATTCATGGTAAAACCAAAAAAGAAAGAAAACAAAAGATGGGAGGACAGAAAAAAAACAGGCTGGAAGCAAGAAAGTAAAGACAAAGGCAGAAGAGAGGCAGGGGAGAGGGAGAATCTTAAATAATTGGAGGCCACTTAGAGAAGCACCACAGCAAGAGTGCTAAGTGTGCTGTTAATCCCAACACTCTTAGTGAGGAGTGCACTTATTAGCAGTCACAGACAAATATGTATGCACCACCAGAGATACTCATGTGACTTGCACATGTGCATTCTGTTGAAGGTTGGATTGGGGGATTAGCTTCTTGGAAGGATGTCTTGTATGTGATGACCTGTGTGATGTTACTAGCAGACCAATTCTGGGATGGAAATGAAGCCCATTTCTGCCTGCTGAAAAGTAGTCTCTCTTTTTCCCAGGATATAGAATAAATGCCCCACTAAAATGCTGTGAGAGGGTACTCAGGCCCTGGGGCATTGCTGATGATCCATGCAGAACCTTCTTTGGGAAAGAATTATATTACCACCCCATTAGAGTATAAGCTACATAAGGGCATGGATTTCATCTGCTTTGTTCACTGCTGTATGTCCAGCACCTAGAACATCTGGCATATGATTCACACTCCATAAACATTTGCTGAGTGCATATATGAGTTGGTGGGAATGCAATCCATTTCAAATAATAAATACTTATTCATCTTTCTAAATTCTGTTGCTGTTATGTTAAGGGTTTCACACCTTACATGGCATGGATGATTACAATTTCCAAAAGAGTGAAATAAGATATTCATGAGTAGGAACATGAGCAAAAACCAATTTTCAAAGAGAGGCATGGCATGGTACTACTGTCTCCAAAACAGAATGTTTCAGAGTTATGAGAGCCAAAAGACTAGGAAAGTCAATGCAAACTCTGTGTAAACCTTAATGAAATGCTCCTGCATGCCTAGTGTATTGCTCTCAAGTGGCTGATTGGATGAGGAGTAATTCTAAGGGTCCAGCAGGAGATAAATGGTGTATACTGGGTGCTAGTCAATACACCTTCCCTGGCTGGAGCCCCACATCTCTGTTGTGCCTTGGACACTAAACAGAAAGCCTAGCAACAAAAGCAGTACCATTGCTCACTGGTGGTATCTTGGTGGTGATACATGCTTTGTCTTTGAAGACTGGGAGGAGCTCAGTAAACCTCTATATGGGCTCCCCTCAAGTTCAGATGCCTCAGGTTTTGTCTATAAAACCCATGCCTAAAATATTCCATAAAAAGAAGAAAGGCTATTCTTTGAAACATCAGACTTAAACCAGGCAGTCTCTAAAAGCCTTAGGAAAGCACAGAATATGTCTGACACATCTGCCATTTTGTTTTTTTTTTTTTCCTTTCATGAATCAAAGACTATGAAACTCTCAGCACTGCTACTACCCACATACAGTATGCATGTCTCCTTGAGTCTGAGGGCCAAGGGGCTTCCCACCTCTGACAGTAGTGCTCCTTCAGCACCAGAAGCTGAGCCTCCCCTTTGAGTAAACTGTCACATATGTGGAGGTTGAAAATGACCCTGAAAAGAAAAACTCACACACAGCAAAAACATGCAGACTTGCTCCTTGGAGATCCAACTGAAACACCCTGATACTTGTCAGCATATTTTTAGAAAGGCATTTGTCTTTTATTTCATCCCCACCACCAAAAAAACCCGACAACAACCTCCTACCTCAATGCTTCTGAGAAATACCTAATTCTCTGCAAATTTCATCAGACAGGGGACAGATCTTGCCTTTTGAAGTACACCTTGGACTAGTTTGTACTTCAATAGGTAGGACAGGCAGTATGAGGGATTTGGGTCCAGGAAGGCATGCCAAGTGATTCTCCAGCTTTGTCCCAAAAGTAAGTCCTAGAAGACACTGAATTAAAATAATATGTTGCCCCTCAGAATGAGGTTTCAAGAAATGTGCTTGTCGGGGGGAGGCCATTGTCATTTTCCTTGCATAGGGCTGAAATGTGACAGAGTCTTTCCTGGAATGAAACATTTATGAAAATGTGCTTAATCCATTTTTAGCAGCTTGGTATTTTTTTCATGATGAAATAATATCTCTCATCCTGAAAAACACTTTGCCTATTGTAGCTTCTACACAACCTCAACATTGGGGCCAATGTGGCCATCAGTTGCAAAAAGGGGAAAAGGGTGTGACACATTTTGGGACATGTATCATATCCATCATAGTTTGATAATAAGAAAAGAAAGGGGTAATAGAGCAAAACTGAACACAACTTCTGTACCCTTCCCAGGCCAGAAAATGCTGAGGTCATCTTCAGAGAGTGTGGAGAGATGTTAGTAAGCCGACGACTGTAATGAAGTGTGACAGGTGCTGTGAAGGGGGAAGGCCAGGGTCCTGCGGAAACACATTGCAGGGTTTCCAAGCCCAGAATTGGAGGGGTTCGTATCATTTCAAGAAGTCTTTCTTGAGGCACTTGACTGGCTCAGTCGGTTGAGCATCTGACTCTTGATATTGGCTCAGGTCATGATCCCAGGATTATGAGATTGATCCTTCAGTTCCTCCTTGAACGTAGAGCCTGCTTAAGATTCTCTCTCTCTCTCTCTCTCTCTCTCTCTCTCTCTCTCTCTCTGTCTCTCCCTCTGCTGCTCTCCCCTCTCCCCTGCTCTCTCTGTCTAAAATTTAAAAATTAACAATAAAAAAGAAGCTTTTCTTGAGAAAGTGACAACAAAATTTCGTTTAAAGGAATAAGTAAAAGATGCAGGAAGAGTGCTTTGGTAGAGATAACATGTTAAACTACCTGGAAGCTGGAGAGATGGTGACTCTAGATACATCGGGTCAAGCAGAGTGACGAGATCATGCAGCACCTTGAACTTCAGCCTGCGAGCAACAGGGAACAGTTGAGGCAGGGGAAATAACATGATTAGGTTTGGCACAAGGAATGCATTACACAGAGGAGACAAGTGCCTTTCCACATCCCCACTTGCCTTTAGCTCCCTAATCAGGAGCTCTGCCAGGAGATGTTCTGGAAGGCTTTCTTCCCACCTGTGCTTGTGCCTGCAGAGTGGGCACTGTGACTGGCCATATAAATGTTAGTTGCAGCTTATAATGTCTCTAGTCCCAATTCCAAAAGCCCAACCCTCCCATCAACATTTCAGTGTGTACTATTTATAATGATCTTCTTTCCCTGTCATTTGTGGTTTAAAAATTCCTCATCCTGAATAACATAGCCAAAGGAAGATGCAGTGCAAGTTCTACCCATTGTTACCTTGTCATCATAACTCTCTCTATCAACCCAATGGGCCTTTAGAAGAGCTTGCAATCCCCAAAACTTCTATCTGGTGATGCTGAGGGTGGAGGGCAGTTGCTGCAGTCAGCTCTGGGATCCCTTCAAAGTGGCACTGACCCTTCCCCTGTACACCCTCAGAACTCAGCAGAACTGGTATGAAAGTTTCTGCTGAAAAAGATGAAAACACTTGGCTTCTCACTGTTGTGATTTAGAAGAGAGTAAGAGAATGGAGATATCAGTGAGGTTGAGAGAGAAACAGAGGATGGAGAGAAAGTGAGGGCCAAAGAAGAGGGAAGAGACATACTCAAAAGGTGAGACACAGAGAAGAAACAGGAGGGAGGTGGAGATAAATAGAAGATGGATAGAGGAAATATCAGGGAGAAGGAGCAAGAGAGTAGAGGAAAAGAGAGAGGGAGACACACTGGGGGAAGTCCCAGCACAATTGAGCTGCTGTCCAGGAAACTTTGGGGAAGGGTCTAGCAAGAGAGGCACTGCTGCTAAAGCACCTGGATGCTGTAAGCAAATGGGCAAAGGCCAGGGTGGAGATAGACCCACCCTCCCTGCCTCTATTTCCCATTCAGGGCTGGGTTACCAGATCATTGGTCTTGGCCGCCTTGACTCCTCTGGAGCTTGCAAAGCTTACTGTGTGCCAGGCCTGCTCTGGCCCCACCAGGAACACCAATCCCTTCCCACAGCCAAGCTGGGGTGGAGGGAGGGCATCAGGTAAAGAGAGTTTCCAAGAGTTATGGAGGGCTGGCCAAGTTCACCAGAGACAACCTGGGGGAGGAAAGCAGTCAGGGAAAAGGATATGCAAGGATGAAGGAGATGGGGCAGGCAGACAGACAGATGGACAGACAAGCAGGCACCAATATCAGGAAGATCCTAAGGTTCCTCTGTATCATCCATGCCCTGTACCTCCATCCAGAGGGTTGAGGAAAAGCCAACTCTGCCCCTGGCTTCCTTCTCACCTCCTCTCAAACCCGAAGCTGTCAGCTTGAGAAAACCAAGTGGCTCCACCTAAACCCTCTCATCTTTTTTTCCCCCTTATAAAAATCATTAAGATGTTAGAGATCCGTCCCAGCTTAGCTCTAGGCTATAAGGGATGCTGCTGGGGAGCTGGGAGCAGGGCAGCCTGCATGCACTCCTCCATCTGGAGAGTTAGAAGCTGGACAGACACCTCCAGCCGTCTCCAAGCAGCAGCAGCAGCGGCAGCACAAGCTCCTCCCCAGCACACGGACATGCTCTGAACCCCACTCCAGGTGACTGTGCCTTTAAATTGCTGCTTTAGGAGGGTGCGTCTAGGGGAAGGTGGGAGGGAGGGAAACATCTTTCTACCAGTCGCCCTCCTTCCTCCCTTCCAAGACTCTCCAGGCTTTTGGTGAGCGATTGCTGCCCAAAGAGAATCTCCTTTGGCCCCCTGGCAGGCAGGCAGGCTGAGGCCCTCTGGAGCCCATGGGCAAGCCAGAGCAGGAGACAGTAGGGATATCCAATTCAGGATTATTTCCAGGGGAATAGTTCGGGATCCTGACTGGTAACGGCGGGGCAGAGGAGAAGAGAGCAAAAGAGAGAGAGCACACAACTCCTAGCCTGGCCCCATGGGCTCCTTGTGAGTAGACCAAGTTGGAGGAAGGCTCTGTACTTTCTACAGCATTCCCCCTGCTGGGATATCCCCCTTACCTTGGCAGCCAAGCTGAGAAAGGGCTCCAGGGTCTCTTCGGAATGACAACTCTTGTTCCTGCAACCCTCTCCTTCCTTCTCCTCTGGACCCTGCCGGGGCAAGTCCTCCTCAGGTGAGCTGAGTCGGGGTGAGAAGGAGGTGCATGCAAACACAGGCTGGTGGCAGCAGGGGCTTCTGGCAGTTTCTTTGAAGTTTACAAAAAAGCCTACAGTCAGGAGGGTTCCAGGGAAGGACACACTCTCCCCAAACCAGGACCTGGTAGCCTTTTATGAGGAATCTCAAGGCCTTCAGAGTTGGTGGGGAGGCTTCTGCATGGGTGAGATCTTCCTGAGCCTGGGTAGGGGCTAGGTAGTTGAGCCCTGGAACAGAGGTCATCTGTTGTGCCATCCTTTCTTGTCTTCCTACCAGTATGGCCACACACTGCTCAGATTCCTAAAAATGACACCAACATCTGCCAGCTGTCCACCAAAGAGGCTTCAAAGTAGCAGGGGTTTGCTCTAAACCATATCAGAATGAAACTGGGCTGAGCAAATCTTGTCCTTCTGCAGTAACCCTGCCTGTGCATATGTGGCTGCTTGCTGTCCCTGAAGGGGCACTAAGTGGAAATAATTTTCTGGGCTTGAGGGCAAGACATGCTTTAAGCTCCCTGTAAATGTACCCCTACCCATTCCCACTTTCTCATGAGACCAGGAGCCACTCTAGGTGGACAGAGTGAGTTGAAGAGGAAAGATGGCTGTGGCTTGGGCTGAACTGGTCATAAGAACAGTGCCTCCCAAGGTGGAGGGGGCTGGGTTCCAGGGTAATATCCTCCTCCTCCTCTTAATTCAAGTAGTACACTAGGGACTTCTTGTCTCTGAGGAAGGAGCCTCCTGCTTCATTGCTTACAGACACATTGGCTGGCAGGCATACAGGGATGTGATATGTGTGAGGCGGCAAACTTCTTAAGGGTTAAAAGTAGCCCAGAGTACAATGGCAGCTCAGCTGCAGTTGGTAGGAGAATGCAGGAAGAAGGGGGCACACAGCGGAGCTCATTGGCCCTCCTGGAGGGGAGGCTTCCTCAAGACCCAAGCTTTAGTGGCAGCATTCCCACTTGGGCAATTAGAGTGAGGCAAAACCTTAGGAAGTCTTGAATCTAAGCCCTTCATTGTACATATGGAAACTGAGTCCTAGAGAGGGGAGTGACCTGTCCAAGGTCACTCAGGCACCCAGTAGCAGAATCAGAGTTCTTCTCCTACCCCACCCCAGAGCCTTGCATGAGAAAAATTTTCAGCTCTGGAACCTCCCAGGTCCTGTCTGTATTTGGGACTTTCCAGGAATGAAAGAGAGGAAAAAGTGGCTGCACATAGTGATTCTACTCTCAGGTCCACAGACAAGGCAGCCCCAGAAAACAGGGTCTGTGATAGGAGTTGGGGCCCAAGACAGCTAAGCCCATAGCCTGTCACAGGGCCTTGGGACTGGGCCATTGGGAGAGGTGACCTGAGAGTGGGGCCACAGATGGTGGCAAGCATCTGGCTACTCCATGTACAGGATTATGTGGCCTCCCAGCAGGCAGGTGGCAGGCAGCCAGCAGCGGCAACTAGCCAGCACGGACATCCTGTAGTGAAGCCACAGACTTCTGCTTGCTCCAACACCTCTGCGAGCCTCCGTGGATTTTCAGAGCCTGCTTAAGCCACCTGCTCTGGCAGCCCCTGCTTGGGGCCACAGTGGTCTCTGTTCCCAGGGTAAGGGCTTCATCTGCTCAGGGGATTTAAAGAGACAGGACTCTAGGATATCAGGGTGTGGCTTTCACTCACCTTCCCCCACTCTGGTTCCTTGGCAGCCCACCCTGGGCTGCTTACATCACAGTGCTGTGGTAGATGGACTTAGTTTTGAAGTCAATAGCTCTGGGTTAGAATCTTGGCTTTACCATTTACCAGCTATATGATCATGAATAAATCACTTTATCTTGCTGACCCTCAGTCTCCTCATCTATACAAGGGGGATAATAATAACAATTATCTGAGAGCACTGATGTGAGAACTAAACTAGATAAGGTGAGTAAAATATGTAGCATGGTGTCTTAGCTATTTTTATTATTTTACTGATCACCATGCATATGATCTATATGGCCTATCATGGTGCACAGATGTAGTGGGGTCTCTTGGCTCAAAGAGAGTCAGATCCAGAAGGTCAGTAGTCACCTTGCCTCCCAGCCCCAGAGTGGCAACAATAGTGGCTGTGAGAGAGCTAGCACAATGATGATGGGAGGAGTCCAACCTGAGCTTGGCCCTGAGCCCTACCTGGGCCCTCAAGGCTGAGGGCCTGGTCCCTAGTCTAGCTGTTGGCTGGTAAACAGACAAGCAGGCATGTGGAAGGGGCTTCCCTGCTCTTAGAAAGAAACTTGTCAAGGTAGAAGGGGCCCAGCCAAAGCACACTGGCCCCTTCCTCAAAATCAAGTTGTTAGGGGGAAAAGATGGAAATTGACCTTCTCAACATAGCCATCTTTCTGGGAGTCCTTGTGCTCCTAGAGCCCTGCTTCCTCACCTATTTTGTTACCAAAGCAAGTTTATATGCCTGAAGCTGCCCCAACCATGAACTGAAATCTAGCTTAAAACAGTTTCCTGCTGAAGCAAACACCAGAAGCCAGGCCTCCCTCTCTAGAAGCTAGTCCCTAGATCCTGAGTGGTTCAGCATGAAGGCCAAACAACGAAAACTGTCAGAGATGCAAATTGTCCCGGAGTCCTTCCCATCCTTGGTTAAGCAAAAACATTGCAGCAGCCACGTTATTTCCAGTGAGCTGGTGCTCTTCAAAGCACCTTCAGAAAGACAACTGGATGAGATCTCAGCTCCTTGGGTTTGAGCCCTGATCCTGTTACTCACCAGCTTTGAGACTTTAGGTAGATCTCATCTTCTGGTTTGTTTGTGTTTATTAGATTCTACATATAAATGAAATCACACAGTATTTGTCATTGTCTGACTTATTTCACTTAGTATAATGCCCTCAATATCCATGTTGTTGCAAATAGCAAAATTTCCTTCTTTTTACAGCTGAATAGTATTCCACTGTGTGTGTGTGTGTGTGTGTGTGTGTACACACTTATCCATTTATTGTTGATGGTCACTTAGATTGTTTCCATATCTTGGCTATTATAAATAATGCTACAATAAACATGAGGGTGCATATATCTTTTTGAATTATTGTTTTAATTTTCTTTGGATATATTCTCAGGAGTGGAATTACTGAATTATATGGTAGTTCTAGTTTTACTTTTCTGAGGAATCTCCATAATGTTTTCCATAGTGGCTGTTCCAATTTATAATCCCACATGTCACTTTTCTCATCTGTCTTTACCCCCATTATACTGAGAATTGTGAGGGTAAAAAGATATTATATATGTGAAAGCACTTTTTTAGGACTAACTGTTGAGATGCAGTGTTGGCTTATGGCTGTTTCTGTTCTCATTTTGCAATGTGTACCCAGAGACCCATCTTCTTCTATCCTCTTGCCTGATGGAGAGACCAGCCAAAGGTGTGTGGGGACAGGAAAGTAGAGGGTCTGTGATAAGTGTACACTACAACTGGCCTTAGACTTCTTTATCTCTCCTGTCCAGAGTGGCCTTGGCAAAAGAGGAAGTCAAATCTGGGACCAAAGGGCCCCAGCCCATGTCCCCCTCTGATTTCCTGGACAAGCTTATGGGGCGAACATCAGGATATGATGCCAGGATTCGACCCAATTTTAAAGGTAAGAAGCATTCATCCTACAAAAAACCTTTCTTCCCCACTCCTTTTAGGAACACACTGCCATGCTATCCCCTGATGTCTGCCCCAAGGAGAGGACGCTGGAGGTACAAGGGGTTAGTTTTTACAGTTCAGAAAGAGCTCCCCCTCCTTATTGCTTATGGGTCTGTGTAGCTGGCACTGCCTTCTCCCAGAAGTGCCTTGGCCTTAAGCTCAGAGAGGGAGTCCTAGAACGTTCTTCCAGACTCCTGGAATGTCCTGCCAATATGGCTGTGTTTTGCCACCTTTAGGCCCACCTGTGAACGTGACTTGCAACATCTTCATCAACAGTTTTGGCTCTGTCACTGAGACTACTATGGTAAGGAGTCTTCCTGTTCCCTGCTTCCATTCTAGTGTTAATGGGAAGCCCACCAGATATTGAATCTTTCCTCCTTCTGTCATTCTTTCCCTGTTTTGTGGTCATGGCTAAAGCCATGGGATGTCTAAAGTTGGTCATTGGGAGATATCTTTCTCCAGCCTAGGGTTTCAGTAGCTAAAGGCAGACTAGCCTAAGAAGCAGATGGCCATGATCATGGGAGGTAGCTTGGTACAGAACACACGCTTTGGAATCAGACAAACCTGTGTTCAAATCCTGACTCTATCATCCTGTGTGATACGTTTCTTAAATCTCTCATTTCAGTTTCCTCATCTGTAAAATGGGGATCATAACAGTACCCTCATCACAGTGTTGGTGTAAGATTTAAATGAGATGATGCATATAAAGAAAGCAATTAGCAGAGAGCCTGGCACATAGTAAGTGCTTAATAAAGATCTTTTCCCTTCCCATCTTTGTCATATCAGCTCAAAGCAGGATGCTTATCCAGTGGAAAATGTCCACTGCCCCTGAGATGTGCTCCCAGCATTTCCTCCTCATGGTCTTCTAAGCCCATGCAGGCTTGCTGGGTCCCTGGAATAGCACTGCCTCTGATAGGCCCATTTGTGCACCCTCCCAGGACTACCGGGTAAATGTCTTCTTGCGGCAACAGTGGAATGACCCACGCCTAGCATACCGAGAATATCCTGATGACTCTTTGGACCTTGATCCTTCCATGCTGGACTCTATCTGGAAGCCGGACCTGTTCTTTGCCAATGAGAAAGGGGCCAACTTCCATGAGGTGACCACAGACAACAAGTTACTGCGCATCTTCAAGAATGGGAATGTGCTCTACAGCATCAGGTGCACCTGGAGGATGGTCAAGAGAGTTTGGGTCAAGGGGAAGAAACCAGATGGAGGGTGAGGGGTGGGAAGAGGGTCCCCTGTGCTGTACTGGGCCCCAGTTAGCTGATGTCACTTCTTTTTTACTGTACCTGCCAGGCTGACCCTCATTTTGTCCTGCCCAATGGACCTCAAGAACTTCCCCATGGACATCCAGACCTGCACAATGCAGCTGGAGAGCTGTAAGTGTCTCTAGAGTCACAGAGCAAGGCCTGGAATATCAGGTAGTTAACCCCATCTCATGATATTCTAAATGAGAAAAGGGCAACTCAGAGTGGGTACTTACTCTTCCACACAGTCAGTTGTTAGCACAGATGAGAATAGGAGCCAGGACCCACTAACACCCAACCCAATGTGTTTTTCCATCCTCACACTGTTTACTGGGTTAGCTATTCCACAGGGCTGGGGAATGGGAAGGCACCAGCTTTACAAACATGCTTGTGTTGGTTGTGGGGGGTCATTTGAAAGATACCTTTTCTGCCAAATGACATTCCCTCTCACAGTGCCTGGAGTTATTCCACCTTTATTCTCCCTGAATTAAGACATTCAAGATGCCTATAAAAATGCCAGAGTCAGTAGAGAGGGTACTAAACCCTGATTGCTCATAAACAAAGATAACTTATAGAGAAGTGGGAGGGGACAATTCTAGGCATAAGACAGTGCCCAGGCTGTTAAGGTCAGCCAAAGGCTAGTCTGTGGCAGGGGTGCCAGCTTCTAGGGGCTGCCCTGATTTCAGAGAAGTTAAAGGATGACAAGGCTATGCCATCATCTATATGCAGTCCTTTGCCATCTCTTGTGAGATCAATACATATCCACTCAATTTTCAGAGTAGGCTGGTCAGGCTGTTTCCAGCATATAATAACAGTGATGGATAGAATGTGGTCAGCTCTTTAGAGTTCATAAACCACTTTCACATCCTGTTCTTACTACCCACTCACAACAATTCTGAAAAGTAGGTGGAACATTTTACCCAAGGGGAAATGACTTGCCCAAAATCACACAGCTGCTCTGAGTCAAGGGCCTACATTGGAAATCTGTGTGTCTCAGTGTTTCTTCTCCCATTTCTACCTGACATATGTGAATACAGTAATATATATGACAGGAGCCTCTACAAACTGCTAGCTATCTGTGAGCAACTTGGCATGTTCAGATGTTAACTCTCAATATCTGCCCCAATTCAATGCCCTGACTAGGAGTCTGTGGTATGCACATTGTTCCATGCATGATGTGCAGGGTATAAATAGCTCTTTCCTCCCTGGGGGGAAGTGGCAAAAGCCCTAGGTCTGAGGCAGGCTCAGCTGAGGACATGTGGTCAGTGCACATGCTTACTCCCCTGGGTTTGAGACATGGCAAGAGGTTTCTAGCTGGGTTCCTTGACATCTTTCCAACTCTTTTGACCTGCTTTCTAGGTCTCCCAGAATAATTTCTCTCTGGGCCTTCCTAAAGCTTGAGAACTAGATAGAAGAGGACTCTGGAATCTTTTTGATTTACCTGCTTAGGTTAGGCCCATTAGACAATTCATCAAGTACCCTCTTCAGAAAGGCTTCCCTTTCCAAGACAAGCATGAAGCTCTTAAAACCCAGGCCTTAGCTCCACATCTGTTCTTTCCTGCTGGTTCTAACCCTCTCCCTACTCCCACCCAGCACCATACTCTGCAGCCGTCTGCCATCTCTGTCACTTTTAGTTGGCTACACCATGAATGACCTCGTGTTTGAGTGGCTGGAAGATGCTCCTGCTGTCCAAGTGGCTGAGGGGTTGACTCTGCCCCAGTTTATCTTGCGGAATGAGAAGGATCTAGGCTACTGTACCAAGCACTACAACACAGGTAAAAACCAGGATCTTTACTGGTTGTGAGCCACAGAAGGGCTTCCAGATGGGAGGGAAGGGGGTAAGGAAGCCAGCTTTTGTTGAAAGTCCACTTTGTGCCAGATGTGCTAAGTGCTTCATATGCCTTATCTCATTATGGTAGGAATTATCAGCTACATTTTTCAGAAAAGGAAGACTAAGATTTTAAGAAGTTATATTAACTTTCCAAGTCATATACCTAGAAAATGTCTGATTTAGAGTTCAAATCCAGATCTAGCTCCAAAGCCCATCTTTTTGTCCCTATCACATTCTGCAGAGCAGATGGGCCTGTGTCAGTGAGTGACAGGATTGTCCCACCTGTCCTGGGGCCAACATTGTGTGGAAAGTGGGGAATCTACATCTGGGAGTAGCCAATGGCTCTGCAGAACCAAGAAACAATAGGCTTCACGGCACTGTCAGGCTTACTATCCACACCTCATACCACAGCCACAATCACCCAACTCTTGAACTGGCTTGTTTTCCCAGGTGTGAAATGTGGGCCAGGAAGTGGAGAAAGGTTGTTTTTTCAGCTTGAGAATCTGCTCCCTGCAGCTTCCCTAAGAGCTACTTGCTCCTCAGGTGCCCTGGAAATTTGGCTACAAAGTGCATGACTATGAGATAGAGGCCAGAAGCTAAATAAAGGAAATCCTTGGGGCACCTGGGTGGCTCAGTCACTTGAGTATCAAGTTCTTGATTTCAGCTCAGGTCATGATCTCACAGTTTCGTGAGTTTGATCCCCACATCAGGCTCTGTGATGATAGTTAGGAGCCTGCTTAGGATTCTCCCTCTCTCTCTGCCCTTCCCCTGTTCACTCTTTGCCTCTCTCAAAATAAATAAATAAAATTTATCTTTTAAAAAAGAGGGAGATTGGGGCACCTGGGTGGTTCAGTCGGTTAAGCGTCAGACTTCAGCTTAAGTCGTGATCTCACAGTTCATGGGTTCAAGCCCAGCGTCGGACTCTTTACTGACAGCTCAGAGCCTGGAGCCTGCTTCAGGTTCTGTCTCCCTCTCTCTCTGACCCTCCCCTGCTCACTCTCTGTCTCTCTCTGTCTCAAAAATAAACATTAAAAATAATAATGAAATAAAATAAAAAGAAGGGAGATCCTCATGTGGTGTGCTGACACACTTTGGGTGCCACCCTATGAATACGTGTGTTTGTGTGTGTAGGGGTGTGGGAAGTGGAGAGAGAAACAGACCACTGAATTTAGGAAATGCTCGTGGGAGTGGAAATCAGTAAAACTTTTACTGGGGAGAAAACTGGCAATTTGTATATAGATGAGTGTTTTTCAAACTTCAGTGTGCATTATATTTCCCTAGGGAGTCTGTTAAAATGTTGATTCCTGGGTTCTGCCTCTCAGAGATTCTGGTTATATGCACTTGGAGTAATGCCCAGAAATCTGCATTTGAACAAGCATCCTGAGGCTTCTGATACAGATGGGTCGAGGGGGCATACTTTGAGAAACTTTAAAAGTTAATTTTTTTTTCCCTATGTGTTGATCCAGGAATCTCCCTCCTTGGAATTTATTATAAGGAAATATTGCAAAATATCACATTGACTTTAAACCCCAAGAGTGTTACTGGGTCAGTGCTTATACTAGCAAAAAATTGGAACTGTTCTATATATCCACCAACATGACAGAACTTAAGTAAATTACACACTGCATCTGCTTGGTGGAATATTATCCAGATGTTTAAAAGGATGCTTGCAAGATTCTTATATCAACATGGAAAGTACAAGTGGAAAAAGCTAAGATTCAAAGTTGTATAACACAGAATCATTATATTGTGGTAAAAGAAACAAGCCAAAAGCATGTGTTTAAAAATCCTGGAAGGAAATATCACTAAATATTTCTAAAGTAGTATGATACAGTAGATAAAAGCAACAACTTTGGAGTCAGATAGAGCTGAGTTTGAATTCTTATACTACCACTTACTATTGGGTGCCCTTGAGAAAACATAACTTAATCTCTTTGAGTCTCAGTATTCCTATATGTAAAATGGGAAATAATAATTTTATCTGCCCCAAAGAGTTGCTATGAAACTTTAATGAGATAAACTATATAAAGTCAGGGTACTGAGTAGGGACTTCATAAATGTGAGCTTATAACTATTATTATTTTTCTCTACTTCTCACTTCTTTCCTATACTAAACAAGTGTTAATTTTTTTAATTAAAAATAAAACTGCCATTACAAAAAGTAGAAAATGGATACATAGATTAAAAAGGAAGGAAGAAATGAAGGGAGGGAGGGAGGAAGGAAGGAAGGAAAGAAAGAAAGAAAATATGGATACCTAGCAAAGACATGTCATAGCAAAAAGCCTGGGGTGGGGTGGACTCAGGGAAAAATAGGAGGTCACAGCATCACATAGTATATCAAAGCCATAATCAGTCATTGACGAAATTACTGGCCTTGAGGAATCAGGCCTGATAAGAGCAAACTTAGTAGAGAATAAAATAGCAATATATGCATCCCCTGCTTTTTCTTTAGTTATCCTAAACCTTTGCTGTTGCGACAAGCTCCGAGCTAGTGTTTTCTTAGCCTCAGGGCATGGGAAGCAGCATAAAGTGAAGATGTCTGGCAGAGGAGGTAGAGCATTAATTAGTACATGTGCTTTGGGCCAATGAACTATTTGTTGGTGGGATAGAATGCTGCTGCCTGATGCTCTCTGGGCACACACTGCTTACTGTCCAGAGCTGGTCTCTGTTGGACACTGTTTCCAGATGTTTTCTATCCATCTCTTCACACTTTTTTTTTTTTTAAACTTTTTTTATGTTTTATTTATTTCTAGTAGAGAGAGAGAGAGAGACAGCGTGAGCAGGGGAGGGTCAGAGAGAGAGGGAGTCACAGACTGAAACAGGCTCCAGGCTCTGAGCTGGCAGTCAGCACAGAGCCCGACGCGGGGCTCGAACCCACGAACCGCGAGATCATGACCTAAGCGAAAGTCGGACGCTTAACCGACTAAGCCACCCAGGCGCCCCCCATCTCTTCACACTTGCTTGAGATACAGTCAGTGTTTATTTCAGTGAATTGTTGCTCGAGAGATTCTGGGGTACCAGCAAGCTCAAGCAAGGCTACTGAGATTTGGGCAGAGTCTAAGCTCATTGCTTTGTTAATAATGATGATAGTACCAACTATCTATGTGCTCAACACATAAATTATCTAATTTAATCCCTACAATGATGGAGTTGATGTTGTTACTCTGTTTTATAGGTGAGGAAACTGAAGTTCAAATAGCTTGGATGTAGGGATACAGGAGTGCTGATGCATAGGAGCACATGTACCCCAATGTTCATAGCAGCACTCTCCACAATAGCCAAAACTTGGAAACAGCCTAAGTGTCCATCAACAGACGAATGGATCAAGAAGATGTGGTTTATCTATACAATGGAATACTACATGGCAATGAGAAAGAATGAAGTCTGGCCATGTGTAGCAACATGGATGGAATTTGAGGGTGTTATCCTGAGAGAAATAAGTCAGGCAGAGAAGGACAGATACCATATGTTTGCATGTATAGGAGGGTTAGGAGGAACTTAACAGAGGCCTATGGGGGAGAAGAAGGAGAAAAATAGTGGGGGAGAGGGAGGGAGGCAAACCATGAGAGACTCTTGAATGCTGAGAACAAACTGAGGGCTGATGGGGGTGGGGGAGAGGGGAAAGGGGGTGATGGGCATGGAGGAAGGCAGTTGTGGGGATAAGCACTGGGTTTTATATGGAAACCAACTTGACGATAAACTATTAAAAACAAACAAACAAACAAACAAATAGCTCGGGTGTTTTGCCTGAGGTCACACAGCTAGTACATGGAAGGTTCAAGATTCAAACCCAGGCAGTCTAGCTCTGGATCCCTTCTGTTCTTAATCCTCTTGCTGTGTGGTCACATGGAAGGCCCTCTGTTGGAAAATAGTTCTTGGACCAAGAGGTCAAGTCTTTGATGGGTGCTCTGACAGCTTCCTTAGAAGAAACTTCTGGTGCTCCCTGGGACTATTTTGAAAGGCTCATTTATTTGCCCAGCTGAGGTGCCCAGAGACTGACATATAGAGATAGGGATACTCCAGACCTGCCTCTCAGGCTCAGCTCCAGGCTGGGGACCTGAGGCCTGATACCTCACTTTTTTTTTTTTTCTTTACAGGGAAATTCACCTGCATCGAGGTAAAGTTTCACCTGGAACGGCAGATGGGCTACTATCTGATTCAAATGTACATCCCCAGCCTACTGATAGTTATCCTGTCCTGGGTCTCCTTCTGGATCAACATGGATGCTGCCCCTGCTCGTGTGGGCCTTGGCATCACCACTGTGCTCACCATGACAACTCAGAGTTCTGGCTCCCGGGCATCTTTGCCTAAGGTGAAGAAACATGCAAGGGAACTTGCTTGCTGTAGAGCTCCCCATTTCCCATTCATCCTCTGTTCCCTTCTGATCACTATTTGCCTTGGATTTAAGGTAGAGGAGAGGCATTGAGTAAGAGTAGGTGACAATAGTTTTCTCTTCCCCTACAACATACTGCTAATGATATTGCTAAAGATGTGGAAGCTGAGGTTGTGGGTGTTGTCTGGGTAGGGAATGAGCAGAGACAGTGCCTGACTTACTCTGACTTTTATCAGGAAATACTAGCATTTCCAAAATCAAAAGACCTTTAGCAAGTAGAAAGTCCCACTCTCTCATGGTACAGATGAGACGAATATAGCCCAGGGAGATAAAATAAACCTTCTCAAGGTCATCTTCCATAAGAAACAAAAAAATATATATATAAGGATTTTAAACCAACATCTGTCTCTTACTGTGTCAGAAGTTGGACACTATTACAAAGAGCTCTAGAGACAATGTCCATTCTCTTGGGGTGAAAAAATTTTGAAGTAGCAAATGGCAGTTAACCTCAGTGGACTCTGAGCATCTGTGACCTGGTGATGCTTTGATTATGCAAAGAGATTTGTGCTCATGAGACTGGGCCCAGGTTCTCCCTGCCTTGTGTCTTCATGTGGGGAATTAAGAAGTTACCTCAATGTCCTTACAGTCAGCAAGACTCTGAGAAATCAGGGAGCAAACTGATTCATTCATTCAGTAAATATTTATTGAGCATGTACTATATAGCAGACATTATTCTAGGCCATGAAGAAATGTGGGAAGCAAAAGCAAAACAGTTCCTTGTGGAACTTACTGTGAACATAGTCCCTCTCATTTTTGATTTGATGGGAACCAGGCCCTGTGACCTCCCATTTCACAGTGTTTATTCCTAAGAGAACACTTACAGGGAACTTAAACAGGGTGTAACCTCCGCATCCATAGTAAATGTACAAATTTGCCATGGGGGTGATGTAGTGGTTGAAAGTAGGAGATTGGAAGCAGGCAGATTTGGGTTTAAGTTCCACCCTCATCATTTACCAACGGCATTCTTAGGTAAATTCCTTAACCTCTCAGTCTCTACCTGGGACACAGGAATAAATATATTACCTCTTCCATAAGGTTATTGCAAGAAATAAATAATATAATGATTTAACACAGACAACAGCATTTGGCACCTAATAACCACCCAATAAATGTTTGTTATTGTTAGGTGTCTGAGTGGAAAGAATGGAGTGGTGGACCTGGGGCTAAAGCAGCTGGTGATGTTCCCAAGTATCTTTGATTTGCTGGAAAATGTTTGAGGTAATCCAAAGGTCTCTAGTGATAAACGACAACAAAGCTCAGATTAGGATCAAGTTTCCCAGGGGAAGTTGTCAGAAAGTATTTCCTGTAAACGTGTTTCCTAAATGGACAGGGATATTGAAAAGGCTCTGAGAGACAGACAGCGTATAGGCAAGGACGAAAGGCCAGGTGGGGCTGTGATGGCCATGTTGTGGTAGTAGACTTGTAGGAAAACCAGAGGCAGAAAAGTAGTTCAAACCTTAGAAACCTGCCCTAGTTTATTGCTGCTGCCATGTAAGGAGATTCTTCTCTGATCCAGGGAGTTTGCAGTTAGCACCTTATTCTTGCCAAGGGAACTTCCTTTTCTAGTCCCCTCCTGTCAACAAGCACTGTCTGTCTGCTCCTAGGAATCACTTAGTTTCCTCATTTGGAAAAAATGGACTTTGTTGGAGGGCTGTTTGTCTGCAGTATTTGGTGCCTTCTCATTATATTTTGATGACCTTTCTGTAGCTTCATTGGGCAGTAAAGAAAATATGTAGACGTTCACTACCAAACTAAATAGACTCATTGGCCAGCCCACAAAGCTAGGAATTAAGTTAAGGGAGTTTCTGTTCACTCTTGAGTTCATGCAACATTAGATATGGTGGGAACCCTAAGGAAATAGGTGGGATAAAGTCAGAGGCTTCTTAAAAAGCACAGCATTTTCACTCCCAATACAACTCTAGTGTCCAGAATGAGAGAAGCAGAAGCTCACTTGTAATGGAATTCAACTGGGATGGCCATTACTCATACTCCCAGGAAACCACACTTTCTTTGCCTTTATGGGGGCTCCCAAAGCACTGATCACAGTCTCTTTGACAGCTTTCAGTCTATACAACTCTGGGTGGCTCAGACAATGATGGAAGGGCTAAATGGAAGTTTCTTCCAGAGACTGGCAGAATTGACCTAACGTTGCAGCAAAGAGGAGGGACCCAATTTTCTTGAGAACCTGTAATCTAAATGGCCCACTACTTCTGGGGCAGGTTTTAGTGAGGAGAGCCAAGAAAGCAAACAGAAGCCAACAGAGACAAATACACTGCTATACAATCAACCCATCCATCCGTTCATTTAAAAAATAATTGCTACATGCCAGGCACTCAGCTAAGCTCTGGAGATAGAATAGTGAACATAGTAGAAATAGCCTCTGCCATCAAAGAGCTCACAATCTATTAAATAAAATGGCCAGGTGTATTTGACGGATGCTAGGAAGGTGTAGGTAACCTGGGCACATATAGCTCAATGTCACTCATCATCAGGGAAATACAAATCAAAGCCACACTGAGATACCACCTCACACTGGTCAGAGTGGCTAAAATGAACAAATCAGGAGACTATCGATGCTGGCAACGATGTGGAGAAATGGGAACCCTCTTGCACTGTTGGTGGAATGCAAACTGGTGCAACCACTCTGGAAAACAGTGTGGAGGTTCCTCAAAAAATTAACAATAGAACTCCCCTATGACCCAGCAATAGCACTGCTAGGAATTTACCCAAGGGATACAGTAGTGCTGATGCATAGGTGCACATGTACCCCAATGTTCATAGCAGCACTTTCAACAATAGCCAAAACATGGAAAGCGTCTAAATGTCCATCAACTGACAAATGGATAAAGAAGATGTGGTTTATATATATAATTGAATACTACTTAGCAATGAGAAATAATGAAATCTGGCCATTTGCAGCAATGTGGATGGAACTGGAAGGTATTATGCTAAGTGAAATAAGTCAGTCAGAGAAAGACAGATACCATATGTTTTCACTCGTGTGGATCTTGAGAAACTTAACAGAAAACCATGGGGGAGGGGAAGGAGAAAAAAAAAGTTACAGAGAGGGAGGGAGGCAAACCATAAGAGATTCTTAAATACAGAGAACAAAGAGGGTTGATGGGGAGCGGAGGAGAAGGGAAAGTGGGTGATGGGCATTAAGGAGGGCATTTGTTGGGATGAGCACTGGGTGTTGTACAGAAACCAATTTGACAATAAATTATATTTTGAAAAAGTTATCAAGGTTGGGGTACCTGGTTGGCTCAGGTGGTGGAGCATGTGACTCTTGATCTCAGGGTTATGAGTTCAAATCCATGTTGGGTATACAGATTACTTAAAAAATAAAGTGTTGTTTTTTTTTTTTTTTAAAGCAATAGGTAGGGGCGCTTGGGTGGCTTAGTTGGTTAAGCATCTGACTTTCGCTTAGGTCATGATCTCGCGGTTCGTGGGTTCGAGCACCGCGTCGGGCTCTGTGCTGACTGCCAGCTCAGAGCCTGGAGCCTATTTCGGAGTCTGTGTCTCCCTCTCTCTCTGACCCTCCCCTGCTCACGCTGTCTCTCTCTCTCTCTCTCTATCTCTCTCTCTCTCTCCTAGAAAAAAAAAGCAATAGGTAAATGAGAGACACAGAGAGATTGTCTCCTTGGGAAACCACTGAAATAATTTATCATGGGAGAGTCACAGATTGCAAGAGGCAAGACGGGGCTGAAGAAGTAAGCAAGAGGCTAAATGTCATGCTAAGGAAAGCATAGACTATATCTTAAAAATAATGGAGAGCCATGAAGGATTGTAAGCAGAGGAATGATATAATCAGGTTTACATTTTGAAAACAAAACTCTGGCTGCTATCTGGAAAACAGATTGGAGGTGGCAAGCATAGATACAGAGAGATCATTTAGGAAAGTGTGGGGTCATTCAGATTAGCTAGGATAGTGAGTGGATGGATTCCACAGATATTTAAGGTGTATTATTGACACACTAATCATTAATAAGACTTTATTCCTGTGGCTTGAGGTGTCCTTTTCTTTGATCATCCAAAGCCCTTCATGGGCTTCCCTTGTCATTACCTCACTATGGATTTTCATAGCACTTACTTGACATCCCTGGGGACACAGTGGGACTGGGAGATGGTGAATGAAATAGGATTCCCTCTTAATAAAAGGCAAAGTGAAAACATTAAAGGATGCTTAATCCCTTAGTGGATTTGCTTTAAAAGAGAGCAAGTTTTCTCAACCTTAGCACTATTGACCTTATAAATTGTTTTGTGTATGTATGTCTATGTGTGTGGGGCAGGGGAAGAGTCCTGTGCATTGTAGGATGTTTAGCAGCATCCCTGGCCTCTACCCACTAGATGCCAGTAGCAACCCTTCCCAAAATTGTGCAACCAAAAATGTCTCTAAACATTGCCAAATGCCACTCAGGTGAGGAGGCAGGGGTGGGGGTGGGCATCACAAGTTAAGAACCACTAAGGTGGAAGGTTTATCCAGTGAGACTTGCTCCTTACCTGGAGCCTGTAGCACCCTCGCTGCCCAGCATAGCAAGTGAAAGAGGTTGTCTGGCATGAATCTTACTCCTACTGGGGAGTCCCATGAGGTGGGCTAAGCAGCTCAAAACTATGTAGGGAGTCCATTTGGTTGAGGAGGTTAAAGGACTTCATAAACCTAAGTTCTGTACCTCTCCCGGCCCCACCCAGCCAAAACTCCATTCCAGAAGAGGTAAGTGTTCAGTCTTCACAAAAGAAATGGGAGAGAAAAGTACTTAAAGGTTTCCAAGGCAGGTAGTGAGAGGATGGCACTAAGAACCAGATAGGTAAATACCATTAGTGCCTAGGGGCGCCTGGGTGACTCAGTCGGTTAAGTGTCTGACTTCGGCTCAGGTCATGATCTCACAGTTCGTGGGTTCGAGCCCCGAATCGGGCTCTGTGCTGACAGCTAGCTCAGAGCCTGGAGCCTATCTTTGGATTCTGTATCTCTGTATCTCTCTCTCTCTGACCCTCCCCTGCTTGCGCTGTCTCTCTCTGACTCTCAAAAATAAATAAAAAACATTAAAAAATACCAATAGTGCCTTGAAATTAGAGAAGTGTCCATAGTTGGGGGTTGAGTGACATTCCCTTGGGCCACTGAGCTTAAGTCTTTAGAGGGCCTTTCATAAAGTGCAGCAGAAAAAACACAAGATTAAGAGAATAATGGGAGTGGAGGAGGGAAAGGAAGGAATTCCTAGTCTGATATTATGACTGAAGCCTCAGTGAATAGCAGTGATGCTGAATTGAAAGCTCAAAACCCCCGAATCCTAGTGCCAACTTCTCACTGGATAATCTTGGCAAGGACTTTTCCTCTTTAGGACTCAAGCGTTCTCACATGTCTCACATGGGAATAACAAATCCTGCCCAATTTCCATCAGAGCTGTGAGGACCCTAGGAGATAACAGAGGGCAAACAAATGCAGCATTCATGTTCATTGCTGTTTATTGAAAGAAGAGAATCAGAAGAAGATAAGAATTAAAAGAATAATAAGCAGGAACAGAGACAGAAGTGAGAAAGGAATAAAAGAAAGGAAAAGAAGTGTAAGGAGGAAAGGGATATGAAAGTGGAGGGTGGAGAGTGCAGAGCAATGAATGATGATGGGTAGCCTGATCTCTTTGACAAAGGCCTTCAGGCAGTGGGATATATTGTGGAAAGCTTCTTTAAAAACCAGGAGAGGGGCGCCTGGGTGGCTCAGTCGGCTGAGTATCCAACTTCAGCTCAGGTCATGATCTCACGGTTTGTGGGTTCAAGCCCCGCGTCAGGCTCTATGCTGACAACTAGCTCAGAGCTTGGAGCCTGTTTCAAATTCTGTGTCTTCCTCTCTCTCTGACCCTCCCCTGCTCATGTTGTCTCTCTCTCTCTCTCTCTCTCAGAAATAAATAAAACATTTAAAAAAATTTTAAAAAACAGGAGAAATTCAGGATAAAACTGAAGAATACCAGGCAGCTGATATGGGCTGGCAAACCACCGGATAGGCCATGGAAGGGCTCCAAAAAGGTTTGACTCTTCTGTTGGTGGATGTTGCAGGTGTCTTATGTGAAGGCAATAGACATCTGGATGGCTGTGTGCCTGCTCTTCGTGTTCGCTGCCCTGCTGGAGTATGCTGCTGTCAATTTTGTCTCCCGTCAGCATAAGGAATTCAGGCGACTTCGAAGAAGGCAGAGGCGCCAACGCATGGTAAATATAATTAGGGAGGGGCTCATTTCCTTTCTCCTTTGAACTCCTTCCTCCCTACTACTCCTTCCACAAACCAAGACTCAACATAGGGCTATAAGGTCTAGACAGGGAGTCAGGAACCCTAGATTCTAGTCTTAGGCTGGTCACAGATAACCTAAGTACTTTAACGTCTTTGATTCCATTTCTTTATCTGTCCTATGAGACATTAATCCCTGTAGAGCAGTCTAGTAGAGTGATTAAGAGCATGAACATAACAGGGGTGCCTGGCTGGCTCAGTCAGAAGAGCATGATACTTTGAGGGTGCCTGGGTAGCTCAATGTGCTAAGCGTCTGACTCTTGGTTTTGGCTCAGGTCATGACCTCACAGTTCATGGGTTCAAGCCCCAAATCGGGCTCTGTGCTGACAGTGCAGAGCCTGATTGGGATTCTCTCCCCCTCTCTCTACCCCTCTGCTGCTCACACTGTCTCTGTCTCTCTCAAAATAAATAAACTTTTTAAAAAGAGAGCATGTGACTCTTGATCTCAGGATCATGAGTTTGAGCTTCACAATGGGTTATAGAGATTAGTTAAAAATAAAATGTTTTTTTTTTTAAATGCTATCGAGGTAAATGAGAGACACAGAGATATTGTCTACTTGGGAAACTACTGAAATAATTTATCATGGTATAAATAAATTTTAAAAAAAGAGCATAGACACAGTGCCTGGCACATAGTAAACACTGAAAAAAAATGTTAGCTAGTATTAGAACCTTATCGAGTTAGTCAATATGAGATTACTTTGAGAATTACTAATGGTTTCCCCTGGCTCTCCCCTCAACCAGGAGGAGGGTACCCCAGGTTGCCATACGCTGATTGGGGGTTAAGAATTCGAGTCAGGAATTGGTGCCTTTCTAGGGGAGCATTATAAGAGAGTCCCCAGAGGGGCGCCTGGGTGGCTCAGTCGGTTAAGTGTCCGACTTCAGCTCAGGTCATGCTCAGGTCATGATCTCACGGTTCGTGGGTTCGAGCCCCGCGTCGGGCTCTGTGCTGACAGCTCAGAGCCTGGAGCCTGTTTCAGATTCTATGTCTCCCTCTCTCTCTGCCCCTCCCCTGCTCACGCTGTCTTTCTCTCTCTCTCAGAAATAAATAAAAAACATTTTAAAAAAATAAGAGGGTCCCCATAGCTAAGCTGGAATTGAAATACCACTACTTGCTTCTTCTGGCTGTTAGATTTCTTCACCTTGATCTTCACTAGGCACATCAGAGTTGTGGGGTATGAGGTGTTGTTCTCCCTCACTCTTGTTTGTTAACCCCATTTCTTCTACAGCAGAATGATCAAACAGGGGAAATAGAGATCTTGTCACCCTGACAACAGAGGCAGTTTGCCCCTCCCCTTTGCCCAGACAATGGGTACTAGGTATGTTGCCATGATAACAGAGGTTCCTGGGCCGCTCTCACAGAACCAAGTGCCCAATTATGAGCAAAGCCAAAAGCCTTTGCTGTGCTACATACTGGCAGCCTAATCATCAGAGTTCTGGTCTATCTTGAGCTCTGACTTCATGTTTTCTGTCCAGTTTGGAGGCTTTAAAGCCAGAGGAGATGCACATATGACTTCTGGGGGCAGAGAAAATGATGATCTGATCCCACTGGCTCTAGCCTGTTGGGGCCACTCCAGCACTAAGACTTCTCTCTCTTCCTAATACCCTACCTCCCACCTCAGCTGCTTCTGGGGTGCCCCGACCATATGTCCACACTAAAAATATCTTTAAAACTACCTCGGGGACCTCATGTCCCTGGCTAAGATCCCTTTCTGCTGAAAGCAGGGCTCCTATTTCATCTATTGGTTTGTCGGAATTCATCAGTTCTTGCCTGGACTTTAGTCAGGCACTGAGAAATATGCCCTCTAGTGGATTGATTCACAACTGCATCTCCTTGAGTAGGACTCCTTCAGTAGGCTTAAAGACTTTCCTATCCCATGCTGAGGGTTAGAAAAAATAATATATAGACTTGACAGAAGGGAAAGAAAAGAGAATACTCCCTTTTCTAAGGTAACTGTCACTACCTCCTCTTTAGTGTGTCAAACCTGCCTACAGGTACCAAAATCTTATCTTTATAGGGGTTTTAATCTTTATGCTTTCTCAATGCCTACTTTGAAAAAGAAGAGCAGGCTACTAACCAGCCCAGTGTCCTTTTGCCAGCTAAATTGTCTGTGTGGGTGTCCTAGCAACAGAGGACTGCTGCGATTACTGTAGAGCTACTCCAGGTTGACACTAGTTCCACCTCCTTCCCTGCACCACTCCAGCCCCCAACTGCCCACAGCCTATCCCCTCCTGGTCATATATTGGTTGATCCTGACATCATAATGGAGTCTGTCATAACCAGTGCTCAATTATTACAAAGTTATGACTATGGCCTGGGTCCTGCTTAGGCTCCTGAATGCTGCCAAAAAATGGGCTGGGCTTATTATTAATGTAAATAAACCCTGAAAAGCAAAACCTGTGCCATTAGCCCATATCCCTTTCCATGTTTCCTAAAGCCATTATCATACCAGAGGAATTGTAGCAGGAATTCTGGAGGCCACTGAGCTGGCTGGAAAAGCTGATGCAGAGTTCATCTATTTCTAGAACCTCTCTCTGAGCCATGCTGTTCTAGCTAGAAAAGCAGCAGTCTTTGGTCTGAGAGGAGCCCTCTTATGGGAGGGGAGAGCAACCATATGATTTTCAGGGAGCCCTTAGTAAAGAGCAGGTTGGGAGTATTTGGGGGTGGCTGTGTGGCTCAGTCGGTTGAGCATCCGACTTCGGCTCAGGTCATTATCCCACGGCTTGTGAGTTCAAGCCCCGCATTGGGCTCTGTGCTGACAGCTCAGAGCCTGGAACCTACTTCAGAGTCTCTCTCTCTCTAACCCTCCCCCATTTATGCTCTGTCTCTCTCAAAAATAAAAATAACCATTAAATTTTTTTAAAGGGGAGTATTTTAAGAGCCATCCAGCTGTTCATCCAGCTCCAGGCTTAATCATGTTCTTCTCTAATCTCTCCTCAACCACTCGTCTCCACTGCATGGTAGTCTCTTTCCATGTCACTGTCTTAACTGACTGAGCCACCCAGGCACCCCCCTTCCATGTCACTGTCTAAAGTAGTTTAATTAATTGTCCATACATTTCTGCTTTGTCTTCCCAGCTAGGCTATGAACTTCACAGGGAAGGGTCTGTGTCTCTTCTTTTTATAACCTCAGCAGGCCTTAGCACTTGACTCTGGACACAGAAAACTATGTTATCCATTCTACCAACCTTTGCAGGCCTATTGGAGAGGGCAATATTTCAAGCTGGACAGAGACGAAGCCTTGCAATTGTCAGTAGAATAAATTGGAAAATGGAAGAAATTTCAAAATTCTGCCAAGTCCTCTCAGGGACTTGGTCCCAGAACCCTGCTTGCCTCTCTCCATCCCCCAGCACTTCCCCCCCCTCTCCAATCTCTTCTTTTTTCTTTTTTTTTTTAATGTTTTATTTCTAGGAGAGAGAGAGAGAGACAGCATGAGCAGGGGAGGGTCAGAGAGAGAGGGAGTCACAGACTGAAACAGGCTCCAGGCTCTGAGTCAGCACAGAGCCGGACGCGCCCGGGGCCCGAACCCACGAACCGCGAGATCATGACCTAAGCGAAAGTCGGACGCTTAACCGACTAAGCCACCCAGGCGCCCCCAATCTCTTCTTTTCAATTACTTCAATACATATCACCGAATATCTATCACTCTTTCCCATATCCACACCTTACTTACCTCCCACACTATTCATTTCTTCCCCAACCTGGTTATGGAATCTTTACTCTCTGGGGCCCCAGCCATCCTCTCCTATAGATAGCTGCAACAAAAATATTCTATTTCAATAGCCATGGAAGCCACAAAGTGGTGTTTAAGTCTTCATTTTCATTGTCACTCACACACTCACACACACACACACACACACACACACACACACACACACACCTGGTAATTTGGCTTAAATACATACTACTCATACCCAAGACCCCAACCCCTGGATTTCAGGCCACTTTTGCTTGCCAACTGCAAGTGGTACAATATGTTAAAATCAAAAAGAGCCAAGGGCAGCTTACTCTAGAGGTAATTTTTTCCCTCCCATGTGGGATAGCTTTTTTTCAGCCTGGGAAATTCTTCCAAATAATTCCCTTTAGATTTACTATGATTGGAGAAAAGAAATAAATAAATCTATAAGAACAGAAAACAGCAGTTGGTTTCAACTTTCTCTTCCAGAGACTTTTGCAAACAAATATATTCCATACTTTTATCCTCTAGCTGAGAAGCTGAGAAGCTGAGGAGATCCCTAGGGGTGTGAGGGACCCTGAAATGGAAGGCAAAAGAGGAAATAATTTGTTTTTACTCCCTCATGTTTCAATTACTTGAAAGATATTTTGTTTACCTCTAGTTCTTCATTTCTAAAATGGGTCCAGCAAAAATTCCATGTAGGAAAAGTGTAAAAATGACCTAGAAAATACAGGTGAAGTGAGCCAAGGCCTTTGGTGACATGTTATGGAAGTAATTTTGAGCAGACAGCTAAGGCTGCCCCACTGCAACTCAGGGTCAAAGGACAGCCACAGTGGTGAATTGCCTCTGGCCTACACACATACAACTCTCTCCAGAGACTGGCAAAATCAAAGATTGGGTAGCAAAGCTCTCTGATTGGCAGACTTAGATTCTTCCCTATGCCAAAAGTGCCACTTTTTCTAGAGGCTGAAGGACATCAGGCCACTGTGCATGGGTGGAGCAAGGAATAATCATTTTTCCTGCCAAGCTCTTTGTAACTGAGTAAGACTCTATTCTGAGTAAACTTTTGAGTTTGAGACCCTGAGAGGATGCTAGCTTCATGGGAACAAAGCCATTCCCTGTCCTATATTATGAAGACTGTGGCTCATCAGTCCATTCATTCATTCAGCTGATATCTACTGGGTGATTACTGGATACCAGGCACCATGCTGGGGACACAGCAGTGGACAAGACCAATGCCCATTCCCAGTTTGTCCTATGAGTCCACAGGAAGCAGAAAAAGAGATGGGATCTGTTGGTAAATTCTGGCCTGAGCTTGCCTGTCCCTGATGCCCAGTAACAGGTTCAGCTGTCACAGAATTATTACATTCTAGTGATGTAATAATCAAGGGCTACTGGGACGCACCACGCCAATCAATATCTCACCTATGAAGCCACTTTTCAGTGTGTTACCATAGATGCAGAGGTCCCATTATAAAGACCCTATGATGTCCTTCTAACTATACAACGTTTGTGAAATCTATTTATCCACATTTTATGTATGTATGTATGTATGTATACATACACACACACATATGGCATATCAATTCAGTATATGTGTACACTATTCTGTGTTAGCACTGAATGTCCTGAGTCTCAGGAAGCCCCCAGCTGTGGGCAACACCAAGAAGGTAGTTGGTATCATCCCACAAGGGGGCATTTCACTTTAGGTGGTTTCTTAGATAGCTGAAGCTTTTACTCCTGTAAACACCAACACTACCAAAAATTGTAACCATCTTTGAATGAAGTATTTTTAGGTTCTAGTATATACTTACCTGTCCTCTCTCTATTTTCCACTCTGTGAACCATCACTTCTGATGCCATTATGTGCTTTAGAAGTAGACAAAATTAGGCATGTCTGGGTTGTATATAAAGTAAGAGTAGATAGGGTCTGAGTAAGGACCTGAGGGCTCTCATATAGTAAAGCTCTCTCTATTGATCACTCAGGGGCTTTGGTCTTTTCTCTCTCTCTTTATTTCTCTCTATATCTCCTTTTTCTCTCTCCCTCTTCTTCTATCTCTATATTTCCCTCTATCTTTCTTTCTGTCCTTACTTACCTAGTGCTCCAGCTATTATAGCTACTTAAGGTTATCCACTGACTATTGGATAAATGAACTTTGTGTAGCTGCTACATTACTTAGTGCTGATATAAAATTTACTTCCCCAGTGCTAATGTGTTCATCATAATGCATATATTGTACATAAATGGAATATGTACTGGGTAATAAATGTTACCCTAGATGTACTGACTCCTTTGTCAAAATCTGCTGAGTTGCAGAGAAGCACATGTATCTGCAATAGAGTAATCAGCTTTACTCTAATTTGGATGACCAACTACGTTATTTAAAAGTTTTGGAATTCTCAGCTTTAAATGGAAATAAACAATTTTTAAAGTATTTTTTAACGTTTATTTACTTTTGAGACAGAGAAACACAGAGCACGAGCTGGCGAGGGGCAGAGAGAGAGGGAGACATAGAATCTGAAACAGGCTCCAGGCTCTGAGCTGTCAGCACAGAGCCCGATGCAGGGCTCCAACCCATGGACTGCGAGGTCATGACCTGAGCCGAAGTTGGACACTTAACCGACTGAGCCACTCAGGCACCCCAACAATTTTTTTAAAGATACTGCATACAAGGAGAATTAATTTTGAAGCTTTTGAAAATCATTAAAGTCAAGTTCACCAAGTCTAAATATCTGAACTGTTCTGTTTTATTGTTCTGTTTATTCTGTTGATCACCAGTCAGAAATAATGTGGCATTGATATCCTTCCCACAGTGGGTTGGCACTTTGCTGGGTTTTAGATGGCTCTAAACGGTGTTGTGCATTTTAAAAAGGCATATGGGGGTTTATCTGCAAACAGAATCATAAAATATACCATATGTACCATGAATGAGCTGAGCATACATCTCTCTCATGAGTAGTTTTGTGGCCATAAAAAAAGCATGTAATGGTCCTGTGTATCCAGTCACCTGTCTGCATAGCATCACCTATGAGATATTTGTGTCTGACCTGGTCTCTATCCCTCTGCCTTAGAGTTGTAACCTCAAATGCTGTATTTTCTGCCATGTAATTTTAGGAGGAAGATATCATCCAAGAAAGTCGCTTCTATTTCCATGGTTATGGCCTAGGCCACTGCTTGCAGGCAAGGGATGGAGGTCCAATGGAAGGTTCTGGCATTTATACCCCCCAGCCTCCAGCCCCTCTTCTAAGGGAGAGAGAAACCATGCGGAAACTTTACGTGGACCAAGCCAAGAGGATTGACACCATCTCCCGGGCTGTCTTCCCTTTCACTTTCCTCATCTTCAACATCTTCTACTGGGTTGTCTATAAAGTGCTACGGTCAGAAGATATCCACCAGGCACTGTGAATAGGGTGAGGGCTAAGGGCTAGAAAGTCAGGCTGTTGGCTTCCTTCTTCCTCCTCCATGGACTTCCCCCTTTATTAGAATACATCAGGGGCCTGGACAGTTCATTTCTGATCTCCCACTCAGAACCTCAACAGTCAATCCCGAAGCTACGCAGGTCTACACTGCATGGTGCCAATAGTGGCTGTACTTAGAAAGATGGCTTATCTACTCTAATCCAGTTATTGCCCATGCTATCCCATTTCTCATGAGAGGAAGGTTTGGCTGTGTTCCTGGGTCCAGGATGACCTTCTTCCCTTGCTGGAGCCTCTCTGTTTTCCAATTCTCCAATAGAGAATTTTCAGATCATTCCTACTATATTCTGGCCTTTGTTATCTTAACCTGCACCACTCTTCATGCTGCTACCCACCACCCAGAGCCTGTCCTCTGTCCCTCCTACCACAGGCTCAAATAGGGAATCTTTCCCATCCACAATTGCTGCCATTTGTGACCCAGTCAGTTTTCCTTGACTGTGGGAGGAAGGCAGGGTGACAGGTTAACTACCTCTCAGCAAGGTGGGAACAGTCATGGGCTGCACTGAGGTAGGGCATTGTTATATGACTCAACAGAGAGGTCTTCAGATCTCCTAGGATGTTCAACACTGTCAGAAATGTGGTCAGGAATCTTGGACTCTCAGAAAAGCCACCCTTCCAGATTCATGTGAATTTCCATGTCTCAGAAATATTTGTTTTATTCCCTAAATAGTATGGTTGCAGGGTGTGTTTGGCTGCTGGGGAGTGTAAAAAGAGAAAAATGCTTATTCTTTAAGAAACTTACTCAATAATGCTAGACAACTTAAAAAAAAGTGAAACCCAAGGTAGTAGGACATGGAAGGAGTAAAATATAGAAACTATCCTAAGAGAGTCTTTTGTTGGCTGGGCTTTCATTTGTTTCTTCTTTTTCTCCAAAGTCTCTTTATTTCCCAGGACCTTAATTTTCAACTTGCTCCTTAACCTTCTTTTAGTGAGTAAATAAAAGTGCCATTCAACCTTGTCCAGGATAAAGTGGACTTTAAGCTTCCTGGAAAGGAACTAGGCATATAGAGGACCCCAATCCTGGAAAACATTGACTTGACCAACCTCAGGGTAGTAGTTGTAGAAGTTAAAGACCCATGAGTTGAAGTTATTTCTCAACCTTTCTCGTTTCTCTTCTTCCACAGTGAGAAAGGGTGACCCTCAATTGAAGCCACTAGAAATGTCAGAATAGAGAGGTTGTGGAAGAGCCTATTTCAGGCCTAAAATACCAATGGGACATGGGGATCATGGATCTGGTACTCTGAATCCTTTGGAATGACTCAACAATGAAGAACTGAAAAAGGGAAGATGAAAGTACAGGGCTAACAGCTAGGAGATGGGTGATCTAATGATATCTTAAATATCTTGTCCTTTGGACCTAGAATAAATTAACTATGTGAGTCTAATCTCTCTCTCTCTCTCTCTCTCTCTTTCTGTTTCATTCCTCCCACCCCTCCCTCCCTCTTTTCCTCAAAATGGGGTTCCAAATTGAAAGTCAATAAAAACAATGACCAAAGCAAATTCTGTAGTCAAAGCAGGAGCTCACCTCTTTCCCCCTTTTTCCTATTGAGCTTGTCTACTTTTTTCTGTTCACTGAGATACTCCTCTTGTCTGTCTCTTGGCTTTGAGGAGAGAATTTGGGCTGACCAGGGTAGCTGGACCAGAAATTAATCTTACTGATATTAATTACAACTCCGGTGCCGACAGGATTCAAAACTAAAGGACTGGCTTAAGGGAGGAGATTAAATTAAGAGGGCAGAGGGTCCCTATTTTCCCATTTCCTCCCAGGTAGTGCCAATCAATGAGAGGCCACAAGCAATACGCCTTTGAAAGGAGCAGAGTATCTCTTTGATACTCTCCATGGCAGGGCTGGAGTGTCAGGCTGCTGCAGCCCGAAGGCGGGGGTAGTGGGGGGGTGGACTATGGAGATGAGCCTACTGCACAGAGCTCTACTTGTTATAGATCTTGTCCAGATGGGCCAACTGCACAAATCTGCCCTGTTGGAAGTCTCAAGAACAATGCCCTGGAGACAGCTACAGCACTGAGCAATAGAGCCTGCCTAACTGAGACTCAGCTCAGTGCATCAGCTGGTGCTGGGAGCCAAAGAAGCCAAAGTACCAACCAACATAATAGCCCAAAGGAGTTCACAAAGCTACTCAGAGGCAGTGCCAGGTGGAAGGTACTGTCCCTCCCTATCAGAGCCCCCAGGTGGAGAAGGGAGACACATGGTGTCAAAATCAGGTGGAAACGGCTTTCATTTTCTTCATCCTTACCACACATGTATGGGGGAGGGGGGAGCGGAAATCTGGGTCCCACCGGAAGCATCTGACACCTACCAAACCATTCAATCATGAAATTCTTGAACATGGACCCTTTTCACCACAGTAAATTGGCAGGAAGTGACAGAAGAGACTCACTTGAAAGTCACTTTCATTTACCCTCATAGTACTCACCCCTCTAGAGACCCACACTACTTTCTGCTTGGATCACATATAAAAGTGATTTTAAGTTTTAAAACAGCATTTTTTCTTTTTTCTTTATTTTTTAAGTAGGCTCCACACCCAAAATGGGGACTGAACCCTGAGATCAAGAGTCACATGTTCCACCAACTGAGCTAGACAGGCACCCCAAAACAGCATATTTTCTAGAGGGAGAAAAAACTTCCTACATAAAGTGTGTTGGGTGTTTTCATTAATTCACTGCTAATCTTTAATGTCAGTTAAATATTTTATACACATATTTTTCCAGAGGAAAGGCAGTTATTGTTATGCAGTTGTTGTTAAGGCTATCTGAGCTTCCATTTACCCTTCAGTTTGCTCTGCTCCTTGGAAAACCAGTAGCCTGTCTTCCTTTTTCCCCCTCAATCCACCAGCAGGGCCTCTTGCTCGCCCAGAATTCACAGTCAAATAAAAAAAAAAACTTTTGATGTGGAAGGTAATGAAATAATATATCCCTTTTACTTTCTCCCATGAGCCTTTCAGTCCACCTATCACCAAAGAACTGACACTTCTAGTTGAAATATTAAGTTGACTCTTGAAGTTATATTCCCTTTTCACTGACCCATGCAAATATCCCAACTTTGTCCAGAACCTATCATCTCCTGGAAATATTTGTACATGTCCCCACTTGCCTCTCTCCATTCTCAATTTACTGTTCTCAACACTGTAATTCTTATTATCTTATTTCTGGCTCTCAAAATCTTAAATTTAAATCCACTATGTTGAGATTAAATATCTTCCTAGGCTGCACTGCTGATGAAAGACAAATCATCCAAGCATGGGAACTATCAGGGATTAGGAACTTAGGTAGTATTATCACTTATTGAATGGAAGAAATGTACAATAAGCACTCTGATGGCAGAGACTGCATCTTATACAGCTTTTTAGTTCACAAAGCTCCTGGTACATAGCAATACTCAGTAGGTATATATAAAATGAAAGCATGTCTTCTCACATAGTTTATTACATACCACATTTCGATTCATTCCCTTTCCATTAACCTATTGATCACAGAAAAATAGACCTGGAAGGGGACTTATCAAATCAGATAGAATTAATACACACACACATGTGCATGCACACACACACCCAAGCTGGTCCTTGGGTAAAATAGAACCAAAGTTAAGAAAACATCAAATCCTGGTAAAAAAAATTGTTGAATAAAGAATGATAATGATATGATTAAACATTAATACTGTTCCAAATATGAAGACTAATATCAAGTTATATTTCAAAAACCAATCACCAAATGAAAACTCTGGCAGTGACAAATGAGTACAGAAGTGGGGATTTTGGCATTACAATAATATACTTCTCCCTGATCCACATGCTTTTCCCACTGGAGAGCCAGTCATCCCTGAAAGGAGAGCAATTAGGCTGTTCTCCCCAGCCCTATACTGCTTGCTCCATTATACTTCACATCTAGGATAACATTTACAGTCTACAGGCTTGGACTAGTGGCATCAGAACAGCTTGTTAGCAAATCTGAGGCCAGAAGGAGGAATGACACCTGAGCCAGGAGCTTTCTCATTCAGAGTATTCTCTGCATGAAAGGTTGAAGTATGGCTGCTGAAAAAGCTACCTGAAAAAAATCACATGAGAACTCAGCTGTTGCCACTCTGCCTGACTAGCTCTGTTTTTTTTAGTCTCTGCTTTCACCATGAGGCTATCTACAAATGCCCAGGTTACTGTGTGGTGCATTACAAGGAAGTACATACTCTCACTAGCAATTTCCTGGAATAAGGGTAATTCTTACTATTAATTAAATTCAAGGGGAACATTGGGCCATACAGGGCTGGATCTAGAAAAATATGCACATATACTCTATTTTAATAGCTTCCATTCATGACAGCGTAGTGATTAAGGGCATGGTTTTGGTACCAAACAGAGCCTAGGTTTGCATTACAGATCCGATCCTCACTAGATATGGGCTCTTAGGCAAATGACTTCATCTCCCTCAACCTCAATTTCCTCTTCTAAAGGGTCATTTGAAGGCTCTGAAAGATCTAGCACACAATAACTATGTGGCCTTGAGCAAATCATTGAACCTGTGATTCAATGTTCACATCTGTTAAAAGTAGGTGATAACAGTACCTACCTCATAGGGTTGTTGTGGGAATAAAATGAGATAACTTAGGCAAAATGCTTAATTCAGTGCTTGGCGCATATTAAGTGCTCAATAAAGATTAGCTATTACATGACCAGACCACATCATCATACACCTGTCAAATTTCCAGCATGTGGACCTTTTTTATTTTTTCAATCTCTCCACTCTCACTGGGTTCTTCCTGCTGACATATAACATGCTTACAAATTATGTACCAATGACAAATTGCTTAATCTCTTTCTGAATCTCAGCTTTTTCAAAGAGAGGGAGGAGGAGGAGGAGGAGGAAGAGGGAATGGAGAAGGAGGAAGAGTGAAGGGAGGGGAAAAGTAAGGATGAGAGGAGA